AAAAAAATGCGAAGGTTATTCTTCCGAATGGCACAGAGTTGACAAACTTTTGAAATCAAGTTATTATCATCGAAACTTGAGGTTTATCAGTTGCAGTTCCTTCAACATTTTCGTTCTTTGGTAGCTCACAACGTGTCGGACACCATTGTAGTCTAAGAGGCACCTTTCTCCATATAGAAAATGAAATAGGGATCTGTTTAATGTTTACTTAACGGACCTGGTCTGGGAACCTGCTTGCACATTGGCTGACTTTCGCAAGTCACCTTAGATTGAATGTTGAATGACTTAGGGCATCACACGTAAGAGAAGAAACGGGGTTGTCTAACGCCAAAGAACTTTGTCCTCTCGGCTATATTCTTTTCTAACATCCCTAGCAGATTTAAACGGAGGGTTGAGCTGGCCATTCATCCGTCAACGGCAAGAGTAATGTGTGCAGAGGTTTATAGCGTCGTCGGCGATGCAGCTATCGCTCGCTCTCGACAACAACAACGTGTAGGAAGAGCTGTGTCGGGGGTATAGCTCAGGGGTAGAGCGCTCGCTTTGCATGCGAGAAGTCTGGGGTTCGATTCCCCATACCTCCAAGAGTTTTGCCACCTTCACAACTATGTATTCACATCCACGGATGACACAACTCTGTGCTTTGGCTTCAAATTAACGACATTTTCGGAAGAAAAGACGGCCAAGAAAGGATTATGTGAATGTTGTTCATCTCTTCGAATCGTTTCGGCTTCCCGATGACAACTGAGTTGTTGAATTCAGCCCTTGTAAAACAAAAAATTGTGGTATAGAAGAACCAAGTGGAATTTTGAAAGAGCGCAGACTGTCTTAGCTATCTAGCCTCTTCCGCAAGGGAACTGCACAATATATTCAAGTTATTTTTTGATATTTCAGGTCAATCGCCGGCTTGGTCTCCTCCAAGTAAGGAAAATATCCTCCTTTTTACGCGAAGCATTATTTACACCCACATAGAATGTACCTGACTTTGTTCGGAAATTCGAATGACATCACTCCAGAGATTTTTTGGCATCAGCCATTACCCTCATGAATATAAGTTGCTCGAGTGGATGATTCGGTGTCCTCATGCATGCTAATGTTTCAAATCAGTCAGTCAAATCATTCGAAGAGACATGAAGTCCATCATCTGTTTGTGAAGTTCCAGCAACATCCCACATGTTTTAGCAATATCCCCAGTCCAGCAGTCATCATAAAAGTCTTGCGATCCTGTGATAACTCTTGGACCGGAGGTTGCTGATTGAATACCTCTGAGCATCAAGTGGAGACCAGGACGACCGCTAGCACGATAATCGAATTTCTTCGTAGAAGCTTCGACCGAAAGGATAAATGTTTTTCAAGGAAAGGGAGCAAATGAAACAATATTGCTATTTCAACCTTCAAATTTAGTTGGGGCTTCATTGGTTTGTTTTCAAAGACTCATTCACATGTGTCAATAGAAACCGATAGTACACCTCGGCTTAAACCAGGCGATTTCATTCAAAATAGCAAATGATTCGCTCTAGGAAAAACTCGAGGAAGTCAAGGGTGCGAGGCTTATGAGTTAGTTATCCATCTCTCTGGGCTGTAAAGAATTCACTCGTCCCACCCTTGAAGAGTACGGAACCTCGATTAACTTGGAACTATTATATTTGCCCCTGCCCCTGTCATATGAACGAGGCATTGGTGGCAGGATATGGGGCGCTGTCAAAATCAGCCAATACTTCAATGTTTTGGATTCTAAAATGTCTCTTCGAAATCCTTCCACAATGCTCCAAATACATGTAAACGATGGCATCTGCTCCAGAGAAACACTCAACACAGTTTGTAATCCCTTTAGACCTAAAATAAGATGACGTTTAGAAATTTCATTACTTATTTAAAAAATGCTTTTGTCTGAAATAGAAAAGAACAAAATATTTTCAGCAAGACATCACTCAACATGTGCACCTATAGTGAAAGAGAAAATAGGCGATTTCATCGAAATTACAGTGCACAGTCTTATGGAGGGGGTTGAAGAGGTATCGTTCTGATTGAACACCGAAATTTCTTCAACAATTGTCACACGTTTGAGTCTTTCTGGATGGTTCCCTTTTGGGGCCGTTTAACAGCTCGTATCAGACGTTATCACTTTTTAACATTTCACACACCTACCTCTAATATATGTCTCACATCACACACTACATTGCAGAGGTACCATAGTACCGCAAACAGAGTATCACATGAAATTGCTCTTTGTCAAAGGGTTGGTCGAAGGGTGACGGGGTCGAGCTGGCTGAAGTACACGACAGGATTTGGTCCTCAAAAGATCAAGGATCGAATGTCATATGATATTTCAATCTTTTTTGCCGAACTACTGTCATTTGGTGCTTTCTGGGTGAGACCACAACGGAAACGAAAGGTACAAATGCCCCTAAACGTTGTTATTTCATTCGGTCTCCTAGCATATTCGAATCTGTTATCCCTTTTCACTCACCAGAAACCATATGTTAACTGATCACCGCAGGATTTGGAAGGCGCAGTGGCTCTTTCCTTACAATTGTTTGATCAGGCTCTATCGACTGTTGCCATCTCTGTCACCTATCAACAGCGTTCCCAAGCACAGCGAATTTCTGTCTAGTCCAGAGAAAACACAGTTTTTTTCAGTTACACACAAAGACACACAGTCACCAACGTAGAGATACTTCACGCATAGGCACAGTAAAGGCAATCTAGCAAAGTTTATGCAATGGCACGATTTCCACAAGATGGTCGGCTACAGATCGCACTGTTTCAACATCAATCTTTAGGTTAAAGTTCTGGTTTCTCCAAATTGTAAAGTCAGTGAACTGAAGATTAACGTATCGGAAGCCACCGATGTTCTACCGGAAAAGATGTTGCTTCTTTACAACCATGTCGAGCTGAAGTATGTCAATTGCTAATTCATTCTCATAGCAATAGCATTTTGAAAAATGCAATTTTAGAAGTGATAACGTACCTATATCTAATTATGGAATCATGGAAGATTGTGAAATTACAATGAGCCTTCGGATGAGTACGGGCAGTAGAGCTACAAGGTATCACTGTAGAAGATTTGAAGTTTCATCGAAGGATAGGTCTCACGGCCTCATTAACGCTGGGAACCTAAGACCCCTAGGCGGAATAAGCGATAGAGTGTATAACTAGTGGATTTGTATAACCACGTGAGTCTCGACAGCCGAAATTCGTCTTCAGAACAGTAAAAAATCTTAATCACTGGCCTATTACCTGCTTGCATGACAAGTTTGGTACAAGACATGAGGAGATCTGTGGTGACGTCTTCTTCACCAACTGGATGATTAACAAAGCTTTCTCACAAAAACTCCGGAAACCAAATCAAAAGTAGGGGTTTTTATTTCCTCACTCGAATCTGGTACCAGTTAAAAGATACTGAAGGGGAAGGCTGAGATGGCCTGGACGCCGGGACGAAGTGGGTAATAGCTGCTTCATTCGCCACATTTATCTTAAACATTAGAATAAGCCTAAAAGAAACATTTTCGAAAAAATCTGAACCGTGAGATTCAGCAACAGCAACGGCAACAATTTGTAAAGGGAACATTTAGGTCTTCCAATGCCGTTCTTTATGTCCCGCCTTCATTTCCAGAAGGATCTGTCAATGATTTACGCAATAAAATTAAATCCATGACGTCGATTCGACAGTAAGAGACATCTTTATTTTGATTTTTTGATTTTTTGACATCATCCTTTTCTATTATCTTTTCTAAACACCACAAAAAACTAATCTTATCATAGGCGAACTAGCAAGGTTTCTCGGGTACTCCGTAAAATCACAACTCAAGCAAACAAAAAACATTCTGAATGGAGTGCAGAAAAGCAAAGGGAACATGAGGCGACACGACAAAAAATGAAGGTACGTTTTACCGGTCGCTACTGCCTAAGTGAGGTTTGTATCCAACAGGTTTCATAACAAAGTACAGGATCTCAATTTCACTAAAATATATTGAAAGCACAGTTCATGATAATTCACACGTATCTAACTGAAATAGTGGGAGTTGTGGTTCGGAATAGTGTAAAAATGCCGAAGAAAGCGCGAAAGTTGGCGGATTTTAAGAAATCTAAGACTCCGGGAAAGTAGTAAGAGAGGGGTTAAACGAGAATGCGATGACAGAAGCTCCATGGAAGAGGCATCTGGACGAGCTGTTCAAATTCGCACGCCATTGCGCACAAGTGGCTGCAGTAAGGTGCCTGCGCGCAAGGTGAGGGTCCTGGTGCGAATGGTGAAACTCTACAGTTCTCACAACTCCCAACAACTCGCCTGCCTTGAGTGTGTACACCGACTAAGCTGATTGTGGAGCCTTATTACTTATTACGTCCTATCTTAGCCATTCTTCCGACAGCGTCTCTCGTGCTATTCTTAGTGGAAGTTGAAACCCATGGAAGAGGCCACTTGCTGTCCTAAACCCCTGCTCGACCCAAAACCTGATACTTGACTACTGACAGGTCGTTTGCACTCCTTCCAACTCCGAACATTCTCGATCCATAACAAACGAAGTCATAGGTTTCCGGTCACACAAACACAGTGAACAAAGTTCAAAAGTGTTGGGTAAAGCCTTCGGATGTTAATGAACCACCCCCCCCCCCCC